TATTAGCAAGTTTGATTTTTCAGTCTGGATGTTTGAGCCTGCCTTTCAGGAATTTCCTTTCTTACAGAAGACAGCTCTCTTCCAATAAAACCATACCCTATCACTTTATAGGTAAAAGCACAAAGGAATAAAAATATGTTCTGAATCTTTACGATGAATATGCATAGTAGCTTCAGCAGGCTTACCATACTTACAGAACTAGGGAAAAGAAGTTGTAGCATTAGCTTTTGGATTAGCTTCCAAAGACTTTGCATGAATATATTATTTTTTAATTGTTGCTAACATCAACATATCCCTCTCCTTTTTCTAACTACTGGCGTTTGGTTCTAAGCTTTGAGTAGTGCCAGTAGAGTTTCCAATATTAAAATAAACCTTTGGGCTTTATCACCTAGTCTTGTAAACAAATTTGATTTACACACTACATTACAGGATGGTATATACTGAATAAGAAATAATAGTACTTAATTTTTCCAACAAGCATGAGTCCAGAGAGTTAACCTGTGATGGGTGCTTCATTTCAGTTAATATCTTAGTTGACTTTGTCCTGAACCAGATTATGGAGTCTTTGCCAAAGAAAGCTATCATGGACAGACATCAAGCTGGCACAGAAGTGCTTCTAAACTACTTTGGGATTTGCTTTAGAGAGTAGCCTCAGATATTATTTATAAAGGGACAGATCATTCAGCACAAGTAGTTACTTAAAAAAAAAAAAAAAAATCAAGCTTAAAAAGCCACACAACAATGAACTACTCACTCACATGTGTAAAGCAAAGATGTGATACTCATTTATATTTTTACTGCTCTATAACCGATCAGAATTTTCTAATCTCTGGATTCTTACTTATGATGAAGTTTGTCACCCCAGATCTAATCCTAAAAAGATGCTGAACTTCCTGAAAGGTCCTGAAGGAAGACAGCCTCCATCTGACTTGGATGGATCAGGCCCTTTGAGTGAGTGAACTATGAATATGACAGATCAGGTATACAATCCTGGTACCATAAAATATGAAACTGAAATTATTCCCTGGTGCTTTCCTGTAGACCACATGTTTTTAAACCTTAAAGAGATTTATTTCCCATTTTTCATGCATAATCTGCCATATTCATTATTTGCAATATCCCATAAAGAAATTAAATAGAAATTAAAGTCTGGAAGCATCATATCCATCACTGCGGTACAAACTGATGCCAAATTCTAGAAGTCATTTAGCCTTTTATGTAAAGGCAGTGGCTGTTTTCACTTTGTTTCACAAAGAATAAAGAAAACACAATACCCCAGAAGACTTTCAGATGTGTTTTTTCCTCTCCAAAGAAAAGGGTGGATGATAAAGCTACACACACCTTTTAATCTTCCACTTAGACTTTTTACACATATATTCCTTGGCAAAAACCCCAGGGTCTTCTCTTTCCCCTCCCCTTCTCTCACCCCCTTTCCTGCCATCTCCCTTGCTATAACTCAGCTAACCCAACAGAACCAGTCAGTTTTAAATTTCAGTTGGGACCCCGGTGACCTGTTAATGAATCTACAGAGAGGAGAAAAACTCACAGTGTTGAGTTATGCCTGGTGTTGCTAGCTGACTTGGAGTCAGAAATGCTTGAAGCGTTAACGTAATTGCAAGAATGTGAAAAATGAAGCGTTGGGCTCCTGAGCAAAGCGAAAGGTCAAAGCAAGCCCTACACAAAACAAGTCTCTGGAAGATGGCCTCATTAGACCATTAAATCAGCTTCTCCTTTTTCTCCTTTGTAAGATGTTTAGAGTGTTTTATTTTTATTATTGGATACATTTAACTCTTTCCAGGGCAGGGGGAAAGTAGATCAGACCTACTACATAATTACTAATCTTTAAAATAGTATTATACAGCATTGATTTGCATTTGTGGATCTGAACTGGGATAAAGTCAATAACTGTTTGGTGGATTACAGATCACTACTACTTTGGTTTGCCAGATGATCAATATGTTGTGTAGCTTAGTTTTCTGTTGAACAAGTGAGGTGACATGCTAAGAACAACATAGACACTCACCACTAATAAAATTAGGATAATCTTTCAACATTTACTGCCTGAAGGCCCTTTACTTAACTCTTCCAATGCCAGCATGTTTCTAATAATACCAAACACAGACTGGATTAACCCTTTTGATGCCAAAGGGCAGCCATGCACTGTAGTGGAGAGACTATCCTCCATAAAGAGACAAAATGTCTACACTTTTTTATTCGGTTCAAACCGTAAGGATTGTGGATGGATTCTTACAGGCAATAAATGTATTTATCTCATGCAGAGAAAGTCTGCAAAAAACAGTCATCACCCACCCAAATCCTTTCCATCTCCTCCCTCCCCAAAATATAATAAAATTAAAAGAAAATAACAATTTATAAAAAAATATCACAGGGTGCACATCATACACTCAAGGCGAAAGCAGAGACCCCTGGAAAAAGTGCTCTCAAAAGCCAGAAGAGACTGACTCTAGGATGAATCAATCTCTGCTGCCACCAGGCATTAGTGGAGAAGACTGTAAGTTGCTAATGTAACCCAAGACTCTCTAATGAGCTCCCATTTCCAAGAAATCCTTTGGGGCAAGTGAAGCAGCATTTGTGGAAGCTCTTGGCAAAACTGCAGGGAAACCAAGTTGACCCAAGTGAGTAACTGCACTGGAATACCTCAAGAGGGCATCTATCCTTGGCATTGTCTGGGACCAGCTCACTGCTGGCTCAGGAATTATAAAGCAAATTCTGCCCCTCCGAAGAAAGCCTAAGGAAAATTCCAGACAGACCTCATTCTCCTTACTCTTTCCCAGGACTGAGAGGGCGAGAGCAATCCAGAGCCATCTCCAATGGGAATTCTGCTGGTGCTGTAGAATAACCTTTCAGCTGCCAGCAGCTGAATGGAATGGTGATTTGTCACTGGACTTCAGCTTCCCTTTCGAAGGCCCAGATGAGCACAAAGGGAAACATACTTGCAATGCTTTACCCTGCTGGACTGGACAGCACTAGTGACTGATTTGGCCCCTCAGAGGCTGTTCCTCTTCCACAGAAATGAATAACAGGTTTGTTGAAATCATATTTATTGGCAGAAACCAGCTTCTAAAGGAAAGTGGTGTAGTAGTCATCAACTGCTTTTTCTAATGTTTAGCAATATTTCCCAAGCACCCACCAGAGTTACACGACAGGGGATCAGAGACTGTGAAATGCAGGATCCCTGGATATGTATACAAGCGATTTCTTTATATCAAGCATGGCTCAATGAAGGAACTTTTTAAATTTCTAAGGGGTTCCTGGGGCAGAGTGGCTATACAGGTGTCAGGAAACTTTCGCCCTAGGGATGGAATGAAGATGGCAGACCAATCAAAGGAATCATTTTTAAGCAAGCAAATCATCTGCTACACCGAGCACTTTAGCTACAGTATACCACATAAACATTTGATCAACAGTATCCTGGCCTGTGGCCAGCCAATAGACATAAAACCATCATGCTGTTTAGCAGTCAAGCTCTCCCTATCAGCTGTTGAAGCTGTAATGGTTCATGCTGTGTCTTGTACAGTTCCATTTTAATCCCATAGCAAAAAATCCTTGTGACTCATTTTGGAGTTGGATCACACCCTATGCCATGGCTGCTTTCTATCAGCAATAAGATTACAAATGTATAAACAATTCTTACAAATAGAAGACAAAACCAAACCACTCTACCAGAAACAAACTTTGCAAGTTCCTAGAACTGCAACGGGTACAGCACCAGATCATCAGGCAGATGAGGGGAACTAGCTCTGTGCCAAGCAATGGGCCACGTGAGAGACATGAAATCACACATCTCTTCTGCTGTCTAAGCATGGCAAATATCATGGAGGGAGGCAGTCTGCAGCATGAGAACAGTCAAAGCAACTCTAGCCCCGAAGGCTTCTCCCTTTGCCAGTGTTGGGGTCCTTCAAGACTAGCTGGTTATCAGCCCTGTCCATTGGCTCTGCTGGGCACATGGGGAAAAAGGCAAAATACTGCAGATGTAAGAGAAACATCTTGTGGTGAGACCATATATATGACCTTATTGAGGTAATGTCCCTCTCACTGGCAGAAGCTTACCATGTTTGCAAAGAAAAACAAGAATGGAGTCCACCTTAACTCTGGACTAAAAAAAAAATCAAAAAAGGAGAAATAAGAAAAAAAATCAACTCTTGAGTCAAAATCCAAGAATGACAGCAGGCTGTCTTTACCCAACATTTAACACTGAGGGCTTGACTCTTACACCTTCTGGAGTCAGTTATTCTTCTAATGAGCACGTGTAAAACACTATCATAACAGAATGACAGCCTTTGACACTCACTCAGCATGGATGCAGATGACCACACATAAGGTGCAATGCAGTAGGAAATAAAACAAAAAACCCTAAAATAATAATCAAACCTCCTCAACCTTGAGGAACTTGCACTGTATATAGATACAAAAGAGGTTTTGCAGTTGAGGTGTATCTCTATTTACCATTCAGAATTCAGATTTTCAGAAACAAAAACAAATCTGTACAAGCAAACATTTCAAGAAACATTTTTTCTGTCTAATTCAGGGTTTGCTTCTACTTTATATAATTTATATAATTTAGCAGCTTCATAACTTCACATAGAAGTCTCTTTCTCATATAAAACTGCAGGTTAAACTCTCCTTCTTTAACCAAACTCAAACAACTGCACCGCAGCTGGAGAGTATGTCTGTCATTATATTTACTTACACCACACAAAAATAAACTGTAGATAACCAAATTTGTAAAGGAATTGGCAGAACTAATCAATTGTTATTACAAAGCTTGTTTGAAGATTAGATATTTCGCTTTGAAATAATAATAAAATGCAGCTAAGTGGGTTAGGAAAAGGAAATACCGTCTCCCTAACTTACAGCTGATTATACTGCAAGTCTGCCACTCCATGTTTACTCTAAGGCAGATGTACTGATATAATGAAAAAAGCTGGAGTTATTTTAGTCATGCCTACTTTGTGGAGAGAAAAAGTTTGACCTTTTACCTTGCTCGCTGCTGTTGTCTCCACTCTGGGAAGCGTGGCCCCCGCTGGAGGGCCCTGGTGTGCCTGCCGAGTGCGTTGAGGTTGCATCATCGTGGTCTCTCCAAGATGAAGGATTCTGGTGTCAGAGCGCCAAGGAATTTTTTCCACGGTTCCCATTCCAATAGCAAATGAAGAACAGAAAGCAAACCGGGAGAAGAGGGGAGGAAGGGGAGGAAAGTATACACATTAGCATTTGTGAAATGTGCCAAACACCTATACTGTTTGCACAGTGTAATAATTCTTCAGCAAAGGCAAGCAGAGGAGATACAAAGATTTACTTGTTAAAACACAGGACAGATTTTTTTTCTTTTTTAAACTTTCCAGAGTTTTCTGGATTTAATTGTTTGAATAGTACTGGAAAACAATATTTCAGGACAGAACAAAAAACCCGTAAGTTTAGTTTCCTAAGGAGCTCTACAGGGTAGTGGGGGGTGGAGAGGGGAGGCAGAGGAGGGAAGGGTAACTACCTACATAGTTTATGATACTAGGCATTCTCATTAGGATTGGGATAGTTGGCATGCAAACTATCTCCCCACACTTTGTTTTTCCAGACAGTGAGGGGAGAAGAGGAGGGAAGCTTTTTCAAGAAGTACAGGAGAACATGCATGGGAAAGGAGTGTGTCCTCACCCCCCAACCTCTCTGTCACCCATTTAAATGCTGGAAAAACTTCCAACAAAATCAAAGCTGTGAGGGGAAAAAAGAGGTTTTCTCTGAAAGACATTATATACCAGGAAAGATGCTTCCTAACTCCCAGCTACTACCTTGATTTGACACATTTCAAGAGACTTTTCTGGATTTATCACGAACAGTTCACTTACAAGAATTGTCAAGAACAACCACCAGGTGATTATATAAAATAACATGTATAATGATTTTCATGTAATTCCTTCGGCATTACTGTGCATAAAACACTACAAAAGGGAATGCAGAAGGCAGACTTACAAAGTTTGCAAAACTTGGCTAAGTAAGAGCTGAACTACTGTACTTAAGTCACATAACTCATGTATGCTCTCTAATTTATTGGGTATTGGCTTTCTTGGAGAGAGGAGCTGCTATTTAAAAGGATAAGTGAGGAAAACTTAATGTTACAGTTTAGTGCTACTTTGTTGAGTGTATTCTCCTCCTGTCCTCCTCCCCTTTCCTGATCATTCCCAATACCCTGCTGTTGCTTAAAGGAAAACAGGAATTCTACTGTACAGGAAGAGCTTTATCAGCACCACATGAAGGCAGGCAAGAGATGGAATTTCCTCTGGCAGAAAAGGAGAGCAAGAACACATGAAACAGATCAGAGTAGGGGTTGGACCTGCATTACTAGTCACCTGCATGCGACAATTTAAATCAAGCACATTATAACAACCAAACAACAAATCTTCCCTCAAAAAAAAAATTGCTTTCTTAGGCTGCTTAGTTTTGATTGTGGTTTAAATCTACATTGTGAAATAACACTAGACCATTAAAGCATGAGGAGAAGCTGAAAGCAGTAAGTGACAAGTTGGATAAATTCTTTGAGCAGGACCAATTCTGACCTCATCTACATCAATGTGTAGTGGGAGTAAGTTCAACATAATCAACTGATTTACCCATTGTAAAATACAGTGTAAGTGTGATTGGGACCAAGTCCCAAAATCTATATTCAAACATCTCAAAGTAATCTTCTAGCACTGATTAGTACCACATGCTGTATAGCAACACAGCATAGAACTGCCAAGGAAAGGCTTGCTACAATACCCAGCAACATAAATCTGACGGGCCTGACCTGGACCACAGCAGAGACAAAGGAAAGAGCCCATGACTTCAAAAGGGTCCCAGTAAAGTCTCAGGTGACCAAAGGGTAAGAAGGATCCAAATCCCCTTCACCTTACAAGGACAGAAGCACACATACACCCACGTATGTGGTTCCATGACAGGAAGACACGAGTAAAATCAGAAGACAGGTCAGGATCTGAAATTTGCCTAACCTGTCAGCACAGTATGCAGCACAAGAACACTTACAGCACAAAATCACCAGCCCCTCCAAAACCTATAAGACTGAACGACTTTTCCTCACACAGAACTACAACAGGAAAAAACTGCAACCAAACAGTAGTATTTTATATTCATTGAGGTTATTGTGTTAATCTTCTCTAAATAATACTGTTATTCCCCACTGTTTCATTAAAAAAAAAAAACAAACAGCAAAACAAAACAAGAAAAACAAATAGACCCCGACATTTTACCATCATTTTTCAGAGTCAGGTGGAGAGAAACACAAAAAGAAAGATGAGAAATCTTGAAAGTTCAAGCAGCCCAGGTGTTATTAAAAAGAACAAAAAACTTGAAAATAAGGTTAGCAAAAAGTTCAGATGGAAATAAAAGGCAAAAACTGTGCAAGTTTCTTTACAGCCTGGATTAAAACACAGTTGTGCCTATGAGCTTCTCTTTTTATCTCTGACTTAGGAAGCCACTCAAATAGCTTCAAGCTGAAGGCAAACAGCAGACAGGAGCTCTTCAGCCCTCTGCAGCCTCTTAGCGTCAGCTGTTTGCCGGATGGTAATCAGATAAAGAGCTAGAAGAAATACATGAAAAAGAAAAGAAACAATAGCATAGCATGAGTTTAGCCCTCCAACAACATCGTGCTGGAACCTTCTTTTAGAAAACATAGTAATTGCAACATGTTCACCTAGGCTAAACTTTTCATGGAACACAGTGAATTATGCTAATTTTGTGTACTGCAGGCTCTCTTGTGCTGGCTGCAGTTGGAGCTCCTTATCACACGTAGAAAGTTACAATAATTAACTGGTAACTGCTCAGCTATGTTTTAAGGCAAATGTCATCCAAAACCTATCATACAATATTTCAAAATCTAGACCAGCCTTTCTGTTTCAAAGCTGTAAAAATTTGTAAAGGATCACTGAATGAGACTTCCCACAGCTGAAAACACTTGCTGTATCTACCAGGCTGAGTTGTTTTTGACCTCAGTTTGTAGATCTGGTTTGAGAAAGACACACTGTATTGATTGAAAATTCAATGTATTTCTTGTGACACAGTATTCTTGAGGAAGCTATTTGGCAGAGTTTGGTTGGAGGACAGAAAATATAAGATAAGGTATTTACTTAATGCAACAGTAGAATATTGAAGGAATTTGAAAGGGAGAGAAATAACTAGACTTCAATATTATTAAAAATGACAAAAAATTTTAGGGGGGGAGCTTACAGACTCATAAAAAGGCAGCATTCTTTTGGTTTGGACTAAGATCGTTGCACAAGTCAGTGAATTGAACTTTTTCTCTCCTAGACAATTTCCAACCTCACATCCCTCAAAAAATATCCTTGGCCAAGTGACTAATTGTAAGTATTTATTTCACGCACACCTTCACCCAAAAAAACCCAAGAAAAACCAAAAAAAAACCCAAAAACCCCTAAAAGACCAACCAGATGATACCTTTAAAGTGTGCTTCACTGGAAAACTTCATCGGTATAGCTGAAGTACCTGAAGAGATCCTAGTCTAAAACCCACTAATATTAGTTGCAATTTTTATGTTAGTTTCAATAAAATTTGTATTGAGTTATCACACTAAAAAAAATTTCAAAAAAATAAAGAAACAAAGATACAAAACATATAGCTTTAGATAAATTACACAAACTGCTAGCATGATTTCTCATTTCTTCTTGCAAGTTTAGTAATATACTTTGCAGAAACTCACTGAAGCGATATCTGCCAAAACAGAATTGTCTATTTTGTGTACATGCACACGCTATAAAAATTTCACACATGTATGACCTAAACTAATGCCAGCTATCATAGAAAGTGAACAGCACACATGTATCTATTCCCAGTAGTTCTAATAATTGGGAGCCAAATATGGTACTCCTCTTGCTCTTACCTAATTGTGTTAAAGAGCAGTGTTACTAGGAGAAAAGCAGTGAATACTGAGTAGAGCACAATAGAAGGAGATGGAAAATAGATACAAGAAGCTATGTCTCCAGGGGCAGTATTTTCTATTTGCTGGGCTACAGACTCACAGCTGATAATGCAAGTTGTAATTAATATAAAAGCAGGAGACAATATGGGGAAAGCTTGTACTAGCAGGGCCACAGGAGATCATTCCACTGCTATCCACTGTTTCTCATTTACACACACGGCCTTCCCTAGAAAACACAATTTTACCAGTGTTTTTTCCCTTGAAAGTAAAAAAAAAAAAAAAATTGATTTAGCACCACCATTGAATTTTGCTAAATCTAGAAAAGAGCAACAGAAAGGACAAAAGGCATACAAAGCCAATCTGACACATTTCTCTTTTGTTGATGCTGAAAATCGGCTGGAAACCATAAGAGTTTTTAACTACTACAGGATTTCTTGAACAGAGATGTTGTAATAGAGAAATTTGATATAGGATAAGCCTCTGACAAATTGCAATTCTTACTTTGTATGTCCAAAATATCTGTTGGGCAAAGTCTGGCTAGCTTTTTGTGAGTGTATATAGTCCTGCTAGGGTTGATTCTGATCTCATACTGTTTTTTATGGTGATATTAAAGACTCAATTAACCATAAGGAATCTGCTTCTTATTTATAACTGGGAAGTAAAATCAATCAGGCCAGCTGATACCCATGTGAGTGAGCTAAGCAGGATTTGACTCACATATTTTAACTGAAGTTTCAAGTTTACAACTCTGACAGGATCAGGCCCCAACATAATTTTATCAGATGAAATTGAAAAAATCATTAATCTTAAAAGAACAAACAAAACCCAACTTGTTTTTATAAAAGAAATTACAATGGCTATAAAGCTTATTGTTTCTAAACATGGTTGGACTCAAAGGTCTGGTAAATAAATTTTACCAGTTTTTCAGGGGTTTTTTTCCAGCTATACAGTTTCAGCTATTTTTCAGTTTTACAAAACAGAACTGAACTAAGTGATACCGACGGCATTATTCCCCCCAAACACAATCCAAATCCTGCTCACCTTGTTCTTACAAGTAACACACATAACACATGTGGGAATGGCTGATATGACTGATATCCCAAAGATCTGTATCGAGGTACAGCCATATATTAAAATGTTACAGACCAGGCAGGACGCAGGAACCATCGCACGT